ATTCAATAAGTATGTGCCCTATGTGGGTCCCAACAGTACTATCACATAGCCTAAGCATGATTTCTAACATGATTTATAGTCAAATTTTTTCAACACATAAAGAGCATATAACTAACAATAAATTATTCAACTTTACAGTTTCACGGGACGGACTAAGTCACAATTCTCTCGGTACACGCCCATACGCCTGTCACCTAGCATGTGCATCACCTCCAAAATAATCACATGACACAAAATTCGGGGTTTCATACCCTCAGGACCAGATTTATAACTGTTACTTACCTCAAAGCGTGAAATTCTTTACTCTAATATGCCCTTGCCTCGCAAATCGGCCTCCGAATGCCTCGCATATAGTCATACGGAGCTATTGAAATCATCAAAATTCAAATCTGAGGTCGTTTACACATAGGTCCATATCCGATCCACTTTTCTAACTTAAAGTTTTTCAATTATGAGACTAAGTGTCTCATTTCATTCTGAATTCCTTCTGAACCCGAACCAACTAATCCGATAAGTCATAAATCAATTGCAAGGCATAAATTGAGCAATAAATGGAAAAATGTGGTTATAATATTCAAAACGATCGGCCGGGTCGTTACAAAACAAATCTACCACTTTATGCTACAACAATAAATCTTGAATTACTCCCTGGACCTATACATAATTGACCTAAAGAGAACAAAGAAATCAAAGAAAAAGAGAAGAACACGATAGATTAGACTTCTGAGCACCAAGATATACAAATCTAATGACATTATTTCTGACATTAACCGAAATCTTCTTGAAGATTAGAAAATGCAAACTCATATTCATTCGTGCATTTGTTACATTAAATTCTCATGTTATCGATCCCAGTTAAATTGCATGTATAAATTTCTTGGAAGTCTTTTTTAATTTTACCAAATTCGTGTGTGCTCCAATAAATGAGGCAATGCACTCCTTTACATAGGTAGTATGAGGCGGCGGTGGAAATTATATATTCTAGTCCATGCCAAATTTATAGTATATGGAACATAACAATGGGTAGGAATCTTGCTTTGTATATGAACCCCATGCGACTTAGTATTAATTAGTAAAGGTTTTCAATGTTACAATTTTATCCACAAATGAAATTATATTAAAACTAATATGATTACATGACTAAAGATATTTACTTGTTCAATTCTATATGAATTAGACATCCCGAAAGTAATTATACTAATAGGATTCCTAAAGGTAATCATGTAGGATTCCTAACGTGTAGTATTATGTCCTAAAACTAATAGGATTATAAGGCTAATATCTAAAATTCTGGTTATGTCCTTTTATTATGAGTTATTATGCTTAATATTATAAGTTTATCTTTGTAAACCGACATTGTATTCATTCTTTTATATATATATATATATATATATATATATATAACCAAGAGATATATTTTAAATTTCTGTTCCAAATAGAAAATATTAATTTATTCACAATTTTAATTATAGCGTTTGTGCTAGCAAAGAATATAATAATATTTTATTTGGACTAATAACTAAATTTGGTTGACTAATTAAATTTTTTAATTTAATTATAAAAAAATAAAATAATTAATCCTTTAGCAAAGATCAGAACACTCGTTAGTGTGCGACCCCATAGGTTCAATACTAAAACGGGTAGTAAATTAATCAGATCAATATACTAATCAAAGGTGGAGTCTAGCAACGCTCCTTAAAGACCGGATATAATGAAGTATGCAATTTACTTTCAAGAACCAGTAGAAGAATAATATAGTAATTTCTTATGTCCTTGTAGCTATGGGTCACCCTAGGATATGGTTCAACTGTCAAATCTTAATAGGTGACAACTATGTGCTCATGTCAAATATAATCGACCATTGAATGACCTAATAAACTCTTTTCTTCTTTCATTCAATTGCCCTGGCCAAGGTCTTAATTTGGTCGTTTATAATTCATGACAACACGGAGCTTAAACTCATTACCAAGAGTCGACGGATTCCATCTTGATCAATCACTAATTCTACAAGTATTTAATCATACCCAATATCCTTTCAACTATCGCCCTAGTGCCATAAGTGTCTAATATCAAAGCATAATAAATAACTTGTCAATTACTATGACGGTCTCAGGTCAAAGGAAACTGTTACATCACATTCTTCAAGAGAATATCCTATTGACAGTTTATGAGAATTCTAACCATTAGGAATTATCCAATGAGTCAGTTCAATAATCATATCTCTATATGCATCATCTATCTATGTGATTTAGTTAATGAGATCAGCTAATCTTTATCCCATAAAGACAATCACATAAATATTGATCTAACTGGATTACTAATGTCCAGATTAATAATCCTACGATCAAGAACAAATTTAGATTACATTATAAGAAACTTCACTCTCATTATCTTGATCTCCATCACGATGACAAGTCTCAAAATTTGATCAAGGACTTTATCGAGTTAATCAAATAATTAATAATAACAATGATAAAAGAATATCAAATGCCATATATGTTTTATATCAAAAAAATATGTTCAAATCATCAAATGTGAGATTGGATCTAGGGCATATCTACTATATCCTAAACATTGAACACAGAGTCCTACATGGCACACTGTCTATTGCTTACTCCTTTTCTTTCTATATGCGGTATGCTTTTTTTTAGGGAAAACTACGTGACATATCAAATATTTATACTGTATTTACTATTCGTTACTATATTTTCAGCAAAGTTATCATTCATAGCTATATTTGAATCTTATAGCAAATCCATGAAATAACAGATTAATTATTTTGAACTAAAATAAGAGAGCAACAAGCTCTCGTAGCTCAGTTGGTTAGAGCGCCTGTTTAGTTAGCAAAAGTTTTGAGTTCTGACTCTCAACAAGAACATTTTAATTTTCTGTATTTCTGTATTTGGCCTTAGTTGTATTCATTACGCGAACAAATACAGTCGATATATGTTGTATCCTTTGTATACACCCATGTACACATACACGTTGTATTCGTTGCGCGAACAAAATACAAGTGATACAAGTTAGTAACAAATTGAATAGTAGCTACGAATGGTGATTAGGCAATTTATAGTTATTATGCTCTAAATTATAGTGGTTTATGAAAATTTAGTTAGTTTAAAAATAAATAACATATTTTTATATTTGAAAATAATTTTATTTTAGACTTTTTATTTTATCAATTTTATCCCTAATGAGAAACTCTTATAAAAACACAAATTAAAAACCATACAAAAGCTTTTACTAGAGGTGTCAAATGGGCGGGTTAGGTTGATTTTGGGCGGGTCAAAATAGGGGAATCAATAAATGGGCGGGTCATTGGGTTGGGTCAAGATGAGCTAAAATTTGGGTTATAGCCCAACCCACCCAACTCTTACCAAGTTTTAATTAATGTGTGTTATTTTTTTTATGATTATTTAGTTATCAAATAAGACTTTTTTTCTCTTGTTATACTCATATAGGAGTAACATACTATCAAACAATAAAAGAATTATTTTTAAAAATATTTTAGCAAAATTACTCATAAATCAATTTAGGTTAAAAATCAGCCAACTTTAGATGGGTTGAGATGAACTGGGTCAACATAGGCTTAGTTCAACAAATGCATCTTTACACAAATAGCCGTTCATTTTCTTTGTTTACTTTTTCTAGCCATATACATAGATTATACTTTAACTATACACAATTATACATAAATTATACATATATTACACCTCCACCGTCTATTTTAGTTTAAGTGGTTGGGTGGGGCGGCTATTTGGGTTAATTCTTCTTCAACAAATGGGCGGGTTATTGACGTATCCAACCTTGGGCGGGTTGCACAAGTCAAACGAGTTTAAACGGTGGTAATTTTTGAGAGCATGAGTTTTTTCTACAAGTTGTTAAGTCACCTCTTCTCGCAATAAAAATATTTTATCCCAAATTTACCCCTCATTTCCATCAAATTGTCTTCACCATTATTTTTAGGGAAAAGGGCCAGATATACCCATCTAATTTAAAATATTGTCTACATTTAACCTCTATCATATTTTCTGGCCAAATTTATCCCTACCGTTATACTATTCGGCCAAATTTACCCCTACCATCATCAAACTTTTAAAAAACAACCCCTTAATCTGTTAGCTAGGTAATCAAAATCTCCCAATTTCCTTTTATTTAAATCACTTGTTGTTCTTTTTGCTCCACTATTTTCAGAAATTACTATTGATGTACTAGACTATACAAATTATTCATGGATATTTTTAATTACCAATGCACCAACTTCTCTTCTTGTGATAATGTGTTTGGAATTGGTTTAAAATTTATTTATTTATTAACCTTATACACACCATAAAATTCAGTGGGTCTAAATATTGTGTATTATATGTAGTTGTTCATCATGTATGTACATGTATATTTGAATATATTTTGTTATTGTCTGGTTAGTGTAAAGTTCGATCGGCTAACTTAAGTGTGCACAATGCGAAGGCATTTGATTAAAACAAAGTTGAATTCGACAATGTAAAGTTTTCAAGTAACTTCAATTTTTCACTAATACTTGCAAAGTTTCTATACCTTTGGGCAACGAATTCATTAAAGTTGGGGTGTTGAAAATGCTTTTAGAATTTAGACAGGCTACCTAATTAAGATTCTTCAATTTACTATACTTTGTTTACAAATCGTTGTATTATTTTAATATTTTTTTCTCTTACTTTTTCTTCCATTAAGAAAGCAGGTACATGCCAATTATTTCGAAAATAGTGGATCAAGAAGAAGAATAAGTGACTTAATTATAATAATTTGGGAGATTTTTGGTCACCTGATGAATTGAGGGGTAACTTTAAAAGTTTGTTGATAGTAGGGGTAAATTTGGCCAGATAGTATAACGGTAGGAGTAAATTTAGTCCGACAGTATGACCGAGGTTAAATGTAGATAATATGGTAAAGTAGAGGGTTATATTTGGCCTTCTCCCTTGTTTTTAACCCAAAAAAGAAAAAAGAAGCCCCAGCCCTAAAACCCTCTTCTGCTTCTCTGAAATATAGTCCCAATTTTTTTTTAGCTCATTTGTGTTGTGTTTTCTTATTCGTCTCTCTCACATTAGTGCAAAGAACAGACAAGTCCAGTGCCCAACTTCACCATCAAAATTTAACCTTTCAAAAGACAAGTGTTTATATTGTCTCTAAATAAGTTTGAGTAGCTAACTGACAAATTATGTTAAGTTTAAGGGGTTATCTAGGTATTTAGCCAATGAGGAATAACTAGTGGAATTTAAAAACTGATAATTTTACTGTAAGAAACAGGAGGTATAAACATATATTGCAAATGAAGGGAAAGTTAGGGCACTAAAGCAGTATGGGTTCAACCTCTCAGCATATGAATCTATTATATCTTTAAACTTATGGGTTCAGAACTACCATTTGTTGCTATTTGATGAATTTTTGTACACAAATTTATGTTCCAAGTCGTAAATTATGGGTTCAGATCAACCCATGGCCGCTACTCTACATCCCCCCCTGCACTAAAGGGCGGGCTCATGAATTCGACATGTTAATGCTGAAATGGTGTAATTGACAGGTAACTTATCCAAACATGATGGAATTTTTTGAGTTCCTTGGAGTTAATATGGAGATCTCTCATATGTCATTTTCAGTGACCTTAGACCAAGGCGGTGGTTGCGAATGGGGTACCCGAAATGGAATCTCTAGTTTGTTTGCACAGAAGAAGAATGTCTTGAATCCATATTTTTGGCAAATGATTAGAGAAATTATCAAGTTCAAGCAGGATGTCATAAGGTACTAATGAATTATTTATCTTTATATATGTGAGTATGTGACTACTTATCATTAATCAATTCCATTGAGCAATTTGTTGATTTTCTGATCTCATTAGAAATTTAGAGCACAGAGTCTCTTTGTTCATTGAACATCATGCATTTGATTAAAATGGACTAAATCGTTCTGTTTTGTACGCTTTCTTTATATATGCGTCAAGGAAAGAGCTATCTCCAATGAAGTTTATTTCATCACGAATATGTTTCTGATCGCATTGCAGTTACCTTGAAGCACTTGACAACAATCCTGACATTGATTGCGATGAAACATTATGGCAATTTATTAAGTCAAATGGCTGTTCGGAGTTATTTCTGAAGGCTTATCTGGTGACACTGCTGATTGTCATAGTTATTGATTTTGATAGGTGTATTATACTTTTTGTTCACTCAACAAATTGTCCTTGCTTTAAGCAATTTACTCATATGTTTCACAGATTCCAATATGTTCTTCTATCTGGTCCTGTCCCTTAGAAGGAGTAATGGGATTTTCTGCTTATTCCATTCTTTCAGTCTTCCGCGACCACCATCTTCTTCAGGTTCTTCCACTCATCAACTGTTCAATTAGCATACTTTGTGTGTAGATTATACCAAATTGTTAAATGCAAGAGACTGAATTTGAATGCTTACATATATCATTTTATTATATTTGTGCCTAAGGCTGCTTTTGTTTCTTTCTTTAAAGCTCTTTGGTCTCTCTCAGTTGCTCACTGTAAGATGGGGATCACATACATCTGTAAACAAGGTGAATTTTTATTCATAGATACCACAAAGTTTTTACTATTTCCCTGAGGAGAATTTCAGGCAATTACCAATTTTCACTTTCTTGCATGATATGTTAAGCATGTGTCATCCTTGAGAGTAATTTGATGGGGGACATTGAATGCAGGTTAAGGAGGAGCTGGAGAAGAGAGGCTGCCAAATAAGAACTGATTGTGAAGTAAATTCTGTATCGACAGATGGAGAAGGTCTAGTTTGGTTTTATGTTTGGCTTGTTGCAAGAGTTCGTAGTGCTGATTATTTTATCATAATAGTAGATGGGCATATATCTGTTGGAAAATAATAACAACCCAGTATAATCCCACTATTGGGGTATGGGGAGGGTAGTGTGTACGCAGACCTTACCCCTACCCTGGGGTAGAGAGGCTGTTTCCAATAGACCCTCGGCATCCTTCCCTCCAAGAACTCCCACCTTGCTCTTGGGGTGACTCGAACTCACAATCTCTTGGTTGGAAGTGGAGGGTGCTTACCATCAGAGCAACCCACCTTGTCTGGCAATTTATTTAATGAAAAGACCCTATCACTTTATGTGTTTAAAATGGTCCTTTATAAAGGCAAACTAGAAATGAGGAAGATAGGTTTTCATTGATATCCATTAGTGTTTTTTTCACACACACTGGTGTTAGTGCCAGCTTGCGCACACCTCGATTATTCCACTGGGTACCTGCTATCTCCCACCAGTGCAAATAACGGGTAACTTTATCCACCAAGACTAAGACAGATGGGAAAAAATCACCTAGTGTTCCCTGGTCTTCAATTTTTGTACCCACCTCATTGACCACTAGGCCATACCCTTGGGTGCATATCTATTTGTGTTTTTGTCTTCACTTTCTTGTTTCTTTGATAGGATTCCTAATCTGTAATCCCATTTTCCCTCTATTTTTACTACCATATCTTCCCTATTTGACCACAAGTATAAAAAGTGGGGTTGTTGGCCGNCATTATGTTGACTAAGTTATCTTGGCTTCTAGCTTGTTGATTTGTACAAGAAGATGTGTTACTTCGTTTATATTCATTTTATGATATTTTTTCAAGAGATAACAGATAGGCTATTACCTAATGGCAATTTATTTAATGAAAAAACTCAATCCTTTTATGTGTTTAAAATGGTCCTTTGTAAAGGCAAAACCAGTAATGAAGAGAATAGGTTTTCATTGATATACCATTAGTGATTTTTTTACAATATTAGCATTAACGCCAGCTTACGCACACCTCGACTATTTCACCGGGTATCTGCCACCTCCCATCAGTATAAATAATGGGTAACTCCATCCACCAAGGCTTAGGCCGATGAGATGAGAAGAAATAATCTAATATTTTTTGCTCCACCGGGTTTTAAACCGTGTTGTTCAATTTTTATACCCACTTCATTGACTACTAAGCCACAACCTTTGCATATCCATTAGTGTTTTTGTCTTCGCTTTGTTGTTTCTTTGATACGATTCCTCATCTGCAACTTTCATTTTCCCTCTATTTGACTGCCATATCTTCCCTATTTGACCACAAGTATAAAAGGTGGGGTTGTTGGCCACGCACCGGGGTGGGGGGTGGGGTGGGGGATGAAGAAGGTTAGGAAGGCTAACTGGAGAATAAAAAGACATTAGGGTATAAGAACGTGTTTGGGGGGGTTGAAGAAGGTTAGGAAGGAAGGCTAACTGGAGAATAAAAATACATTAGTGGATCTGACTGAAGACAAAAAACCATTATATTCATTTTATGATATTTTTTCAAGAGATAATGATCTAGATAGAGTTAATTTGTTGCTTATCTAGGGAAAAAGCTTCAGTGAGGTGTATTATGTTACCATCACATAGCTACGAACTACTCGTGATTCTAACTGTGAAAGGAAGAACCCTTGCAGGTTGTACCATAGCTTGCAATGATGGTGCCAAAGAAGTATATGATGGATGCATAATGGCTGCACATGCTCCGGATACTCTGAGAATGTTAGGCAAAGAGGCAACATGTGATGAAACAAGAATTCTGGGTGCTTTCCAGTATAGCTATAGGTACTTCCGATTCCCATATTCGAAACCTTGAATTTTCCGGAAAATTCCATGCATAAACTTACAACGCCAATGTGGTTTATCTTCCTCTAAAAAAGGTAATAAATGCATAGCCATGTTCGCATTTGTATTTTCTGTTACCAGAGGAGCCTTATTTTGTGCTTTAGTGAAGTTCAGTTAAAATGCATGTTCTAATTGTGGCTGGTTGTAGTCAATTAACAGCTACAACCTGCTAAATTTATGTGCTAAGATTAATATAGTTAGTAATTCCGCCTCTAAAATTCTACCATGAGGACAACTTAAAAAGGCAGAATGTCATGTTGAAGAGGTACATCTTCTTGACAAATGCGTTTTAACTAATTTCTCTTGCTGCAACTGCAATGCTGCCTGGTTTGAGAGAAGTTGGTGGATTGGACCATAGTCAAGATATATGATGTTTAAATGTAATATCATTTTCTCTTCCTCTATGACAGCGATATTTTCCTTCATCGTGACAAAACATTCCTGCCTCGCGACCCAGCTGCATGGAGTGCTTTGAACTTTCTTGGAACTACGAAAAATAGAGGACGCATGACATATTGGCTCAATGTAATCCAGGTGTGTTATGCAATACAGCGATTTATGACCTTATATAGAAATTAGAAGATAATGTTCTTCAGTGGAGAGTTCTCTTTAGTAACAGCCCTCTTATTTTATGAGCTGTCTAAACTTACAGAATCTTGGTGACTCAAAGCTGCCTTATCTCGTAACCGTCGATCCTCCTCACACACCAGAGCATATATTGCTTAAGTGGACAACAGGCCACCCAGTCCCCTCAATTGCTGCATCAAAAGCTTCACGTGAGCTAGATCAAATCCAAGGGAAGAGAGGAATATGGTTTTGTGGAGGATATCAAGGTATGAATCTCCTATTATGCAGAGCATGGACAGTTTTTTCAAGATAGATGTTCCTTTGTAACCTGTAATCCTGAAGAATTCCACCACTCACTATTGCTTTTTAAATCACTTGTAGTACCCACCATAGGAAACAATATAGTTTCTGTCTCCGGACCTTTTATAGTTCTCTCAGATAGTCCATGGAAATTGGATTTTATAAGTTTGAATCTGTTTTAAGNGCCTTTTATGCAGAGCATGGACAGTTGTTTCAAGATAGATGTTCCTTTGTAACCTGCAATTGTTCCTAGTCTGCTGCTGGACGTCAACTATTTTCATTTAGAGAACCAGTTCCTTTAACTGAAACCTGAAGAATTGCACCACTCACTATTGTCTTTTAAATCATTTGCAGAACCCACTGTATGAAACAATATAGTTTCTTTCTCCGGACCTTTTATAGTTCTCTCAGTTAGTCCTTGGAAATTGCAGCTTATAAGTTTGAATCTGTTTTAAGAGATTATTTTGAGTCTCCACAGATAAGATGTGACTCCGTTTCTATTTAGATAAAATAGCCCTGAGCCATCGAGACTGAGGGAACTAAACAAGCCGCCAAGCTGTCTTTGCAAAGAGAGCTTCATTCACTTTTTTTTTCCTTTCCATTTCAACTTGATTCCTGCGAGTGAGCTCAACAACCTCGTGTCGTGGTTTATTCACTTCCTTTATTTGCATAATGTTAAAGGAAAGCTACTGCTAATGCTTGTAGTTTGAGTTGTTCCGACTTTAGTCTTTGCTTCCCTTTAGTGCAAGACTTTATTTCCGCCTTTTGTTTCACTGCTTATTGATGTATATTTATTGCAATACTTCCAGGCTATGGCTTCCATGAGGATGGACTAAAGGTAGTACTTCTTCAGCTAATAACAAGCTCAACAGACTTTATCTTGATGTATCGCCTTACTCTGAAAACAATTTGAAGTCTTTTCCAGCTTTTCTTGTGCCTTTGATGTCATGTGGATGATTATCTACGTTTTCTCCTCCTCAGGTGGGTGTGGCTGCTGCAGATGGCGTGCTTAGAAGGAATTGTAGTATTCTGGACAACTCCAAGCACATGGTACCAACCTGGCCTGAAACAGGAGCACGCCTCGTTGTTACAAGATTTTTCAGAAGTTTCATTAAAACAGGATGCATAATGTGAGTGATGATTGTTTCACCTTGTATTGCTTTAATCCCAAAATAGTGGCAGATACATATCTAACAACTTGTTTATTTCCATCTATCCTATTTCTTGTGCTGAAAAGGGTCACAATTGCCCGCCCTTGAACTGTCGGAAATAGAGCACTTTTGCCCTCCGTTTGTTTTTGATATCAAAGAGTTCCTTGCCTTCTAAAAATTGGGCCACACTTACCTCAAAACTAACGGCTGTCCACATGAGCTTCTAGACCTATTTAAATACAATATATTTGCTGACATGGCTGTCCAACATAGAAAAAAGAAACCTCCCCCTGAATCATAGCTGAGAATCCTAACGAACATCACTGTTAGACCGACGATGTCCTTTCCGAGGAGGTATACCATCACTACCTCGAAGTGCATTTTCCCTCGTAAAGTTAGACACAACTTTTGTACCTTGAGAATTCAGATCTACTTCCTCTATGGATGTGTTCTTTGATCTAGAGTTAGCCGACACCATCAATGACTCGCTAGCAGGAACGGAGTGTTATGTGATAGAAGGATGCCTACCAAAGTGAAAGGTAAGCTCTATAAAACAACTATATTACCAACAATGTTATATGGTAGTGAATGTTGGGCTGCTAAAATCCAACATATCCACAAGATGAGTGTTGCAGAGATGCGAATGCTAAGTGGATGTGTGGTCATATAAGATTTGATAAGATTAAAAATGACCACATTCGCCACAAGGTGCAGGTAGCAAGCATTGAGGATTATGAGAGAAGGTCGCTTGAGATGGTTTGGTCATGTCTTGCGTCACCCTATAGATGCACTGGTCCGTAGGTGTGAAACTATGGTGAATGAAGGTGTTAAAAAGGGACAAGGTAGACCTATAATTACATGTAAAGAACAACAACAACAATAACAACAACTCAGTATAATCCCACTAGTGGGGTCTGGGGAGGGTAGTGTGTACGCAGACCTTACCCCTACCCCGAGGTAGAGAGACTGTTTCCAAATGACCCTCGGCATCCTTCCCTCCAAGAACTCCCCACCTTGCTCTTGGGGTGACTCGAACTCACAACCTCTTGGTTGGAAGTGGATGGTGCTTACCATCAGAGCAACCCACCTTGTCTTTGGAATTACATGTAAAGAAGTTGTCTCGAAAGACTTACATATCTTTGGAATCATGCCGGCACACCGGAAGAAACATATCCATATAGGTGATACTTACTACTTAGGAATAGGCTTTAAAATATTACTATTTTTCTTATTATTGTTACTATTATTTATATATATTTAACTTAATTTCACTGTAACTCTTATTTTATTTTGGCATGATGCCGATATGAGTTGAGCAAGAAATGAGGAGTCATATCGTCGACCCCATCTTTGTTTAAGACTGAGTCTTAGTAGTAGTTGTTGTTTCTTCTAAATATTAAAGATATCTGGATAATTACTTTATATTTTGCGATATATAGCTTGTTTGAAGGAGGTACAGTCTTCACCTTCCAAGGAACAGAGAGGAAATGCTCTCTGAAAGTTTCTCTTAGAATTCATGGTCCACAGTTTTACTGGAAGGTAAATTGAAATTCTCTTTTCTCCCCTTCACATTATCAAGCGATAAACCCAAACAGAAAAACTAAATCCAATTCTTGACAAATTCTGTGATATAGATTGCAACTGAAGCTGAAATAGGCCTTGCTGATGCTTTTATTCATGGGGATTTCTCTTTTGTTGACAAGAATGAAGGTCTTCTTAATCTTATCATGGTGAGGAAATAACTAGATTCTTTGTAAATAGCATTTGTTTGGTACTTAGCTTCCTGAATTCTTTTACAGATATTTGTTGCCAACAGTGATTTGAAAGCGTCAGTTACAAGTTCTAGCAAGAAAAGGTAAATAGTTTGTCCTCAACTTGAAATATAGAAACATAAACTTCTGTTCATATGTTAAAGTTTTTCATCACTTTGCATGGCTCTAGAGGCTGGTGGACACCATTCCTTTTTACAGCAGCACTGCCATCTGCAAAGTATTTCATTCAACATGTTTTGAATCAAAACACCCTGACTCAGGCTCGTCGGAATATCTCCCGCCATTATGACCTGGTAAATAACTTGTGCATATTATATCACCCAAAGTATGTAGGGGATGTCAAAGATCAGTAGCGAAATTGACGTACTCAATCCTGCGCGTATTCTTTGCCAGTTGCAGTAGATTTATCACTTCTATTTTCCTGTAATTTTCTTGTCTAATATGGGCTGCTATTGTGTAGATGATAAGCATTGTTTTATTGATGTTTTGTTCAGAGTAATGAACTCTTCTCACTCTTTCTGGATGGGACAATGACATACTCATGTGCAATATTCAAGGTTAGCTCTCAAAATTTTGTCTTCGCATGTTAAGCTACATTTACTGTTCTTTAATCTCATCCCATGGTGATCTAGTTTTCTTTCATAATTTTTCTAGAGTGAGGATGAAGACCTAAAAGATGCACAACTGAGAAAGATTTCTGTTCTCATTAGAAAGGTAAGTCATCAACTATGTAAAAAGCTCTCTTGTTTCAACACAGATTTCAAGCATAATTTCATTCTGCTTCTATTCTTTTTAGGCAAAAATTAGCAAGGAACATCACATTTTAGAGATTGGATTTGGTTGGGGAAGTTTTGCTGTGGAAGTTGTCAAGCAAACAGGATGTAAATATACTGGTATAACTCTCTCCGAGCAGCAACTGGAGTATGCACAGTTGATAGTTGAGCAAGCAGGCCTTCAGGTATGGATTGTACTTACAATGTTGTAGCTCAAAATTTTTGAGTTTAAAATTTCATTCTCTTTTGTCTAGATGACTAATGTTACATTCTTGTTGCTGCCCATTTTAAGAACATTTGATGAAGATTTCCCAGAAATCTTTGAAGAACCTTTTTGAAATTCTGTAATTGGAGAAGTGAAGATGTGCAATGACTAGTTCAAAACTGAACTATGGAAATAACTGAGACAGATCACGGATATACGTGGTTCAGGAAGTCTTCCTCTATGGAGTATGGACAGACACAGCAAAGAAGGAAGCTAACCCACTAAGAGATATAATAGCCTTACAGTATCTCTCAATCGAGGATCCCCATAATAACATCCCGTTGTCTTATTGATGGCTTAGCCTACGCTACAATATAATTGCTATATGCTGAGGAAAATGATAAAGCAACTAGGAGACTACAATTCATGACTAAACCTTCTTCCATTTTCTTGCTTTCTGAACTGTAAGAGCTCCTGAACAAGCTAGTCACAGGCTATGTTGCGCGGACTCTCAAGAATGCTGCCGCACCCGTGTCAGATCCTCTAAAAATATACTATTTTTGGAGGATCGACATGCACCTGGCAATATTTTCGGAGAGTCCGAGCAACATAGGTCACAGATCAGGCCAGAGAAGTGATGTTTGGCATATTTCGATATGTGTTAATGTTACTTTACCCATGCTTTAACCACTTTTTGNAGTTATGGCACAAAATTAACTAAAATGCTTCTTTGTATGTTGCATTCCCACATTTGTCTTTATAAGATTAAAATGAGAACATGATCTGCTTAGCACTTGCAAGCCAAATCCTAGCAACTTTAAAGCTAGGGTTATCCATTAATATTCAGTTCAATGAAATTTTTTCACAGGATCGAATTACCTTTCTCCTATGCGACTATCGTCAAATGCCAAATAAGGACAAATATCACAGGATTATATCAATGTGAGCTTTTATTCTCTACATCTTGACATGTTGTATTACTCACTATATGTCGAGCTAGTGTTACAATTGAACTAATTTCATTTTCAGCGAGATGATAGAACATGTTGGTCATGAGTTTATGGATGAATTCTTTACTTGCTGCGAGTCTGCATTGGCAGAAGATGGGCTTCTAGTTGTGCAGGTAATGAATTAAAGTGATCCCTTAATACAATCCACTTTGTTCACTTTTTCCCTTCGATTTCCTTCACTGTTGTTTCACTCTTGTTTCTTTATGCTACTTTTCACAAGCGTTGGCTTTCCTTAGTTCACTTCAGTGCCAGATGAGAGGTATGACGAATACAGGCATAGCATAGGCTTCATAAAAGAGTATATATTCCCAGGTGGATGCTTGCCTGCACTAAATCGAGTAACATCAGCCATGGCTTCTGCATCCAGACTATGGTAAGAAAGAGTTCATTTTGTGATTTTGCACTAACGTCCTTGTCAGTTTTTCATAAGCAGTTGTCGAAGCATTTGATTAATGATATAAATGCAGTGTAAACCACCTGGAAGAGATAGGAATTCACTACTATCAGACACTGAGATGTTGGCGGGATAACTTCCTGAAAAATCAAAGGTAACAAAATCAAAATAAGTCCACAATCTTCTATGCTGAGTTAAAACCGTTTCTTTCATGAAGTATTTGTAGCTTGATCAGTTCTGAATGTTTATACTTGACCATTGATAACTTTATCACTAGCCAAATTTGTGTTTTGGGATTCGACGACAAGTTCATCAGGACATGGGAGTACTACTTTGACTACTGTGCTGCTGGGTTCAAAACGCGCGCAATAGGAAATTATCAGGTATGGTGATAAATCTTTGAATATTTTATAGGGTAAAACCACTTCTCAAGTCATTTAATTTCCTTTTGTTAATTTGGACATAATTGTTGATGACATAATCTTGCCAATGTTCCAAAAATAAAAGTGCATGACATATAATCATCGTGGAAAGTAGGAGGTGCGGTATGTGGATGGTACTAAGGGGTCGTTTGGTAGGGTGCATAAGAATAACACTTAATAGAGTGTATTAGTAATGTTGGTATTAGTTATGCTTGCATTAGTTATGCTGACATATTTCTTATCCATTGTTTGGTTTGATTTATTACAGCATTGCACAATTTCTAAAAGAATTATTTATTTACAAAAATGCCCTCATAACCAGTCCATCACTTTATCTTTTTAAATGAAACATATGTTGAGGAATGTTTTTATATGAAAAAAGTTTTAAAAAAATTATTTGATTTGTCTACCTATAATGTAGTATAGAACTGAATATTTATTTATAAAAAAGAAATATGCTAAGTATTTATTTTATCTACTAAGGATATAATTTTATTTCCCACTTTCTTGGATTATTAGGCAAAGAAAGTTTGATTTAAAAAAATAAAAAGAAATGAGTTGATTACAAGTGCATTCCAGTACGTAGTAGTAGAGTACAGATTTATAAATTTACAATGAAGAAATTGGCGGAGTATAGATATAAATAGCGTGAGCAATTTCAGTATCAAACTTTACATTAAACTTGCATTAATATAAGAACATATTTTAATCAAGCATAAATTTTGAAGGGCAATTTTGTTTTTAACTAAGCTAATGCTTGCATTAAAACCCATTGCATTGTTACTATGGTTTCCTATGCATTAGTTATGCATAGGATAATACCAAATATGGTGTATAAAAATGCTTGCATAACTAATACATAAGTTCAAAAAGTATACGAAATAAAGTATTATTAATACAAAAAACTAATGCATGCATTATTTTATCTAATGCATCCTACCAAACGACCCCTAAGTGATACTTGCGGGTAATACCGAGGCAGCCCAATGATATTTGGGGCCTAAAGCCATACTTCAACAAGGGGCCTTAAATTTTCGGTATTACAAAAAATAATTTAATAAAATTTTATTTAAAAATTATTTTTCTAGTTTTTTGAGATATAAAATTATTAATATTTTACTTATAATCGATCTTTTTACTAGGATCATATATGTTCTAGTATATTATTCCATTCTCTTAGAATTGCCTGATTTTCTGAAAGATTTATGATAGATTTCTCACCAACTTCTTATTGGATTTCATTATCGTCTAGCTCAATTTTGTTAGTGATTTGTTCACCTACCATAAATTCTTCCATATTTTCTGATTCAAATTTTTTATAGTTTGCTAAAAATTTATCAATAACTCTTCCCTTTTTTTGGTGTTTTAAATACGCGAATTCATATTTTTCTTGTTGATATATTAAAATTCTAATAAATAAATAAAAAGACAATATATACTTAAGAGCAAAAGATGTAACATGGGGAAAGCTTGAAAAAAAAAGTGTTGGCAATTGCTTTTTGCTCTCTTATTTGAGAGAATGATTTACGAGAGACAATGAACTTGTGAGTGTAGAGAGGCCAAAAGTAATATAAAAGATTGAAGTAAAATATAGTTTGGAGAGAGAGTAATAAAGTGATAAAAGTAGTGTAGGCCATGTGATAATGATGATGGTGTATAAATGAGGTAAGAATACACTGGTAAAGTTTAGGGCCTTTAGGCCTTTAGGGTGAATTCCAAAAGTAACTATTCCTATTCCCAATATCTCTAGCGGTCCCAAATTATTTTTTTCATGAAAAAATATGTTTTTTCTTTGATATACTAAATATTTTTAAATGAAAAATTATCACATACAATTATGTAATATTAGAATGAAAATGACCTTTATAAGTTTGTATTACCAAGTGGAAATAGAGTAGGAGTAGAGGTAGTTGTAATGGATACAAACCGATGGTGAATTACGTTAACTGCCTCGCCTAAAAGTCTAAGTTATTAGAGATAGTATAATTTTATTAACTTAATTGCACTTTCAACATTACTCTTCACGTTCTTCGGGAAAACTTTTCTTTTCTTGCTTAGGATAGCGGTGAAACTCGAACTTATTATGATACCATGTTGAATTATGTGAACTACGTTTAAAAACTTAAGGAATTGGAAAGGATACATTTTTATTTACTAAATTATGTAAATACATGCAATTATTCAAATATTTACAAGAACTTGAAATTTTCTTACCGAATTTGAGAAGTAAATAACTCAAAGGGTGCTTCAATTCTTGTAGATTGTATTTTCAAGGCCAGGGAATATTGCAGCATTTGGTGATCCTTACAGTGCAGTGCCTTCAGCTTCTTAGAGTTTCTTTGTTTGGAATATTCGAACTTTGTCTTTGCAAATAAATTGACTCCTCAAAAATACAACAATAAAAACTTAATCAAGTCACGTGTAATTGGCTCATACCTCTAGTTCTCTCTTTTGTAATCTTTGGACTTTTTTCAGTTACCAATTAAAAGTTATTGAGGAGTTTTCATAAAGCATTACAGTTTAGAGTTTAATTACCATACGTAATTGTAGTTTGCTTAATTATCATTTGTAGCTATTGTTTAATGTTACCGGCTTGTATCACTTGTATTCATTCATTCTAAATGGCTGTATCAACGCATATAATACACTAAAATACAGTGATACATATAGTTATTGTATCACCTTATGTGACTCCGTACACGTTAGGATTTTGCTATCAAATACAAAGAGTAGGTACGAGTTGTGACTCTTTCAAAGTGTATTTATGTATGGTAAATATAGTGCATAAGTTAGTTACACCATGTAATTTTTTCAAAGTTATTCAAGGATCTTATTATCCTTATTTAAATAGGAAAGGAGAGCTCATCAATTGACTGAGTATTCAATTTTTGTGAAACTTGAGGAAATAAACTAAGATACTGTTTGGTTGGAAGGATTAAAGAAACAAATGTGCTAGAAAATTAGGCTACATCAATAAAATAGTCGTGGTGTGTATTAGCTAGTTGGATATTGCCGTCGAAAAAAAAAAGATTAAAACAATAACTTTGAAACAGGAGGGGAAATAAAATTACTGAAGGGTAAAAAAACATGTTGCAGGCAATACAATTTTGAAATTACGTTACTTAAAATCAACTCTCTAATTGTTACGTAAAACTTTATTATTGAGATGAATAGGAATTACTCTGGTAAATTGATCACTTGATACGAATTAAATCTATGTACCAATTTTTCGTTAAGTCACAATCCCAGAACACGCACGTAATTTCTGAAGAAAATGTGGCTTGACAAAACCAGGGATTTTGGCTTGTGTTTTTCGAGTTTTAATTTAATTGACTTTGTGTACTAATATCATATATTTGTTTGTTTACATTGTTAGATTGAGTCGGCCTACGATAATGTATAATAATTCATAACAAATCTACTATGCTAATTTAGCCTGAAAAATATGAATGATATAACTGATTAAATTGCATTAAACATATATAATAAATTTTTTATAAGTACTATCAGTATATATAAATTAAATTAGTTTTTTTTTTACTATTGTAAATATTCAATATTTTTCTTTTATGTGGGGAAAAGTGCCTGCTGTTTGGGAGGAACTAATTCTGAACAAAACAACCATAACCTTATCTGAATATCTCAAGGTGAACTGGCACAGACACACTCACCACTAGAGGCGGATCCAGAATTTAAATCTTATGGGTTCAATTTTAAGATTTTTAACATTGAACTCATTATTTTTTTATAGTTATGAGTTCATATCTACTATTTTTATAATTTTAATGAATTTTTACATACAAATTTTTACTCCGCGTCGAAAGTTATGGGTTCAATTGAACTCGTAGCCACTAAGCTACATCCGCCTCTGCTCACCACCAGAGGTTGTCAATTGTCACAGTGTGGCATCATTACATGAACAAGATTCATGCTATCTGACCTCTCTTTGCGTTTCTCATTCAACTTTTCTGGTGCCATGCTCTCATCACATTGCAACATATTATTCTCATGAGAAAAAGAATCAACAAGTTTAAACTCACTCATTAAGGAAGTTCTTTCAACAACACAATCGTTACTATGAATTTGAAACAGATAATCAACAAAGTCATGGCCATTAGTACTTTGAGTTATGTCTAAGGTGCACATTCAACTTCCCCTCCTCTTTCAAATAGATTATTTACAAGGCCACCCCACATAAGACCATTGTAACGACCTGGTCAGTCGTTTCGAGAGTTATAGCCCCGTTTTCTCCATTTCTGCTTATTTATGTGTTGTTCAGCTGTGTTGAATTGCATTGAGTTGGTAGGTTTGGGTTCAGAGTAGTTTTGGAATGAAATGAACACTTAGTCTCTTAGTTAGAAAACTAAGTTAGAAAAGTCAATCGGAAGTTGACTTATGAGTAAACGAATTTGGATTTGGATTTTTATGATTCAGTTAGCTTCGTTGAGTGATTTTAGACTTAGGAGTGTGTCCGGAATGTAATTTGGAGGTCCGTGGTAGAATTAGGCTTGAATTGGCGAAAGTTAGAAATTTGGCGATTTTGGTCGGCAGTGAAAAATTAGGTATCGGGGTCGGAATGGAATTCTGGAAGTTGGAGTAGGTTCGTAGTGTCATTTGTGACGTGTGTGCACAATTTGAGTAAATTCCGAGTTGATTTGATATGTTTCGGCGCGAGTTTTTGGAAGTCGAAAGTTCGAAAGTTCATTTAATTTGATTTGAGGCGCGTTTCGTCGTTTAAATATTGTTATGCATGATTTGAGGCCTTGAGTTGGTCTGTGTTATGTTATGTGACTTGTTAGTCTGTTCGTACGAGGTCCCGAGGAGCTCGGGTGAGTTTCAGATAGGTTTGGGCTGCGTTGCGCTCGTTTTCTTATGTTTCGACGTCGTTTCTTCAAGTATAAATGGTACCACATTAAGCAAATGAGCTCCGATTTCTGTTTTGATTGAAGAATTAGATCCGTATCGTAATTACGGAGCTATAACAAAAAGAATCGTCAAATTTGGGCATCGTATGAGGAATTTATGGTCATTTTACTAAAATATTAGGTTGCCAGTTTTTTCAGATTAATTACGAAATTGCCACTGGCAGAATAACTAACAAAAAAAATATAAAACGAGGGTTTGTTCATTCGGTCATATTTTGAGTTGGGGAGCTCGGATTTGGGTGATTTTGGGGGTGATTTTCACCATAAGGATTAGGGTAAGTGTTCTCTACTCAGTTTTGGTTATATTTCATGAATACATCTTCGTTTTTGGGATTTGATTGATGATTTTAAAGTGAAATTGAGGGAGTTACGGTTTGAGTTTTGGAGAGTTTAAGTGACGATTTGAGGGACCAAGCAGAGTCCGATTTTGATGAATTTCATATGGTTAGACTCGGGAGAGGACGAGGTTTATTATTCTGCCATTTTTGAGTGATTTCGAGACGTGTCCCCAGGGGCCAGGTTTTGGCTGATTTCAGATTTTTGGCATATTTATGTAGTTTTTATTGTGGAATTCGATTCTTTAGACTATGTTGATAGTAGTATTCTGATTTTTGGTTAGATTCGGAGCTTTTGGTGACCGAGTCCAGAGACGAGGGCATCCCGGAGTAGGATTTTACGCTGTTAAGGTAAGTAACAGTTTTAACTCTGGCATTGAGGGTATAGATACGGAGAATTTGATATCGTGTGACTGTTTGGAGGTGATACCCATGCTAGGTGACGGGCGTGTAGGTGTATACCTCGAGGGATTGAGACTTGGTCCNACACGTGAGTTGACCATGCGGATCCAGGTATTGATATGATGGGTTGTCTGTGCTTAGCGCTTGGGCTTTGGGAGCCCCTCCGGAGTCTGTACACACCCCCAGTGAGCGCAGAGTGTTCAGCGTTGAGTGTTGAGTGCGAGTGCTTAGTGATGGAGTGACATTGCTGTGAGGTTGCATTTACTTTTGCTGTTGCTACATTTACCTATTAATTTTCCTTGTAGTCTTACTGATTTATGAAATTACCTGTCTACTCCTGTTTGTACTTAATTATAGAAATAATAATTGGATTATTCTGCTTAGCTCGTCACTACTGCCCAATTCCTTAGTTATTTCTATTACTACTGAGTCGGTTGTACTCATACTATACCCTGCACTTTATGTGCAGATCCATGTGAGTTAGAAAGCGGCGATCATTGAGTTTAGGCCGGCTATCTTTGGAGACTGCAAGGTAGCTGTTAGCGTCCGCAGGACCTTGTTACTCCTCTTGTCATTTCTTCTTTTGGACAGTTAGATAGTTTATATATCTTAGTTCATAGTTTTAGATGCTCATGACTTAGTGACACCCCGATGTTTGGGGCTCGTTTCCGTATTTTCTATATTATATTTAGAGTTGATTTTGTTTATGAGAAGTTCAAATGTTGGCGTTGTTTTATTAAATTCTTATAATCGATTTAGTAGTAATATTTTAGAAAATAGGCTTGCTTTGTAACACGATAGGCGCCATCATGACCATGGTTAGATTTTGGGTCGTGACAAGTTGGTATCACAGCCTAGGTTACATAGGTCTTACAAGGCATGAGCAAGTTTAGTAGAGTCTTGCGGATCAGTACGGAGACGTATGTACTTATCTTCGAGAGGCTGCAGAACCCTTAGGAAAATTTTACTTTCTTGTATTCTATCGTGTAGAGTTGATTCAGCTTGGAACATAACTCCTTGAATTCCTTCAACGCATTCATATGCGCACATGAGCGCTCGGTATCGGGTGTGCATCGCCGGTTTGTGATTTTACGAACAAAGTTGAGATGTGTATTCTGTGTTTGTGGTGGCGGGCCAGTCTGGAGGACTTGAGGCCATGGTTAGACCGCAGCTTAGGCTCGGTAGCTTCAGTTGTAACCTATACATTTGGACTCATATGTCCGATAATGTCCCTACGAGTGAAATTTGTGGCTCGATGAGCGGTGGAATGACTTTGTGGTGAGTATGACGTAACTGCGGAAGGTGTTAAGACGATGTGAATGTGACGAGAAGTGTTTTCTTGAAATGTAAAGGAAGGCTATTGGGTGCTTGATTTTTTGTTTTGATGTGACGTACGGTCTTGAGTGTGAATATTTTGAAGGATCTTTCACGTTGTTAAATTTTGGGGCAAATTAAATTCTCATGTCTGTCAATGAGTTTGGACTCAAGAAGAGTAAGTGGTTGTATAGTAATGGTGGTTGCGAATGGGTATTTTGATGTTGATGGCTCGAGAAAGATAATCTTCGAAGAGACTTAGAGTCAGTAACATTCTATTGGTTCTGGTACGACATAGATGCATTTCGAGTTGATGCAGCAATTGGGCAGCAAAGTATGAGGGAAGACATGACGGGAAGCGTTTTGCGGTGGTTGAAGTACTAGCGGGTCAAGTAGGAGAAGTAGAGGTTGAGAAGTTTCTTAAAGGAGATGATTTAACCGAAGTAAGAATGGCTTTTGGAACAACTCTGGGCATGTTGGAGGATGAACGTTTGTTTAAGAGGGGGAGGATGTAACGACCCGGTCGGTCATTTCGAGAGTTATAGTCCCGTTTCCTCCATTTCTTCATATTATGTGTTGTTCAGCT